AGGCATGAAGTACTACTTGTGCAGTCAAAGAAACTGTAACAAAACTGGCTCTTCGCATCAAGTTGAGCCCGGGAATTCCAACAGTGTGTGTTCAGTGCATCCCTGAGTTTGAGGAAAGATGAAGGTGACCCAGTATCAGGAAGGTCAGATTCCTGAAGTCAACTTCTGAACGCCCGGAACCTACTGCTCCACCAAAAGCTAAACTGGAAAGCCGGCAAGCATCCAGGCCAGCCAATCATTCGATCAGTTCAGTAAAACCTGATGAGTGTTCTCTGCGCCACAGAAGCACGACCGAATGTGATCAGCATTCAGGCTTTTCACAGAGGCACGATCGATGTTGATGGGTGATCACTAACGCCTATCAGACAGCCTGGATCAATGTCAGAAAGTCCCCTTGAAATAGCGTGGAGCCGTTGTAACTTTTGCACTCGCTCTCGCACTCGCACGCACTCACTCGCTTGTTGGGAATATAGTTGTTGTGCTCCCTTCTGTGAGTCTTTTCTCTCCGACACTAGGCACTGGAGCGGGTCAGCAGCAGATACCACGGGGCGACGAAACAGCAGATATAACAGTGACCTTCCTGATATTTCGTGTCAGGTTTTGGTGGGTTGCGGGATTTTGTAGAATGCATACTCACATGACTCTCGTTTGTCTGAGTTTTACAGAGCTGTTGTTCTTGTTGTTGACGTTAGCTGCTCCAGTCACCCGAAGATGTACACATCACAAAAATCAACTTGCTCGAGGCCGACCTATGATGGATTCTATCTGTCACAAGTATAACGATTGGGCTGAAGTGGAATATGCTGCGAGTCGGCCCCCATAATAACCTCCGACAAGGAGACCAGCAGTGTTTTTGGTCTCCGGGAGCCAGATATCATGACGTGATACGAAGTAAACACATTTCTGAAACCAATCAATACCTTTCATTGCTTTCCTTTTGGCGGAACCAAGGATGTGTCTCCGATGCGAGTGTCATTCAAATGCCTTCTTGAGACCACCATTCATCTGGTCTGGAGAGGGGAGGAGACCCCCAACCTTTCATCCATTTTGCGAGTTTCCAAACACACTGACCTTGTTTATTGGTCACCATCTCACTGTCATTGGAAAATAGAATACAATAAACAGTATAGCAAAATACACTCATTTGCATACCAGTTTGGTTTGGACACACCTGGAACCCAGCTGAATCTCTTGTGTATGATGTTTTTAAGCAACTGAGCTCGCTGCACCAGACTGCCTCACGTTTCGATTGGCACGATATTTGAGATGTCGCGATCTATGTATATATGTAACACACTACTCACACTTATTCATGTAGAATAATGATCAGTGATTAGGAGTTCTGAAACTTTTGAGTTATCGAACTTTCTTCTACGAAGTGAATCGGTTTTAGTGCTTAATCAGCTCACGAGGAGCTTCAAAAATAGCTCTGCGTGTACCGTGAAGGCCAAAAGAGCGGCTCGAGCATGTTGAGTCTATTCTAGGCTTGTAAGACGTTCACTGTCGTGACGAGTCAGTGTGTCGATTGCACCTACAACAAAAACGTTTGGAATGATGCCCAAATGACACGTCTGGTTCACCTTCAAGAAACATTTTCACCACGATGTCTTCTTTGTGTGAAAAGCTAAATACTTAGGAACCTGAAATCGTGGCTTCTCTGGTTTCCGGCTTTGTAGGGGAGCCACCTTCGGATTTTCCACTGGATGTTGTCTGTTCACCGAGCTTACAAGATGGACCAACAAGCAAGCATCGCACCCGATTTCTCGTGAACACACGCGTGGACCAGTTAGAAATTCAGCGCAGTTTTTATACGCTCAGAATGGCGGTCAGCAGATCTACATACCTTGTGAAAACATAGTTGGACTGAAAACACAGTACAATATCATGTGACACAAGAAAGGCTGCTGGGCAGATGGACACGTGGAGATTCATTTGTTTTGGATCAGAAGAAGCTGATCCGTTCGCAGTAGTCGGTGTGGAACAAAACAGGTGTTAAAATAAGTATGAATTGCAAACAGCCACAAACAATATTCCTTTCAAGGTTGGAACGACCGCTTCTTTGAGGCAACCTTTCGACTGTGACCGGCCACCAATAATATACAGTTATATACATATATACGTGTATACGTGTATATTATATATTATGCATACATTATACGGTAATATATAACAATAGTACTATATCAGTAATATATATTATTATGGTGAGTGAACGGTATAACGTTTTACTGCATGGAGCAGCTGCTCGTTATTGGGAACATGAAGCACAACTCTCCGGTTTACTCCACTTTCTGGAAACGTCTCATTCGACTCAAATGTTTGTGAGCACGTTTCCGATATCGTGCGGTGTTCAGACGAAACATGTTGCTGCTCGTCTTTGTACCTCTTTGAGTAGCAGGATGAAAGCATGGGAACTTGGAAAGAAAAACAAGTGACAGAATCATGGCAGTGCTTTTGATCTCCCAAATAAGTATTGAGTGAGTTTGATTGCTTACTGCTTCCGCTACCTTCGTGCTCTTTCATTCGAGCGGAACATGAGACCGCGTAGATTTTGTTTTCCCAAACTACACACCCACAGACACACAGTGATAACTCTTCCTCGACTTCTGCTAATTGTGCAATGCATTATTTGTCCTGGAAATGAAGCCAAGTTGTGCTGAAGAGCCAAAGCAGTGCACAGCTGTTTCTATCTTACTGAAAGGGTTCGGAAAGTATCTGAAGACAAATCACGAACGAACGAATGATGACAAGTTTGATTAACTTGCACTCAGAGAGAATAAAGTATCACTCTTTCTTCGATCATGAAATTAACGCACATGGTCATGTGTTGACTAAGCTATCGATTGATGACTTGTCAGATGCAAAGTTCGTACGCTACATGAACAAGTATTCACATTTTCATAGAGGAGACTCTTCCAAGAGTTTTCAGCAACCTTGTGAGTAGTTTCCCTTATGAAAATGTACTATGATATCTTGAGTATCATCTCTACTGAAAAATGAGGTGGCCTTCTGCAGTTGGTAGAATATCATAAACGAGAGATTCAGTTGAGTCTCTCGTGAAAACCAAATCGATTGGAAAATGAGTGTATTTCTCAAAAACAGTTCAATTTGGGTTCAAGTAGAACATAAGGTTTCAGTTGAGTCTCTCGTGAAAACCAAACTGATTTGCAAATGAGTGTATTTGTAACCAGGTTTTGTGACAAGCATGTTCCTCAGAGGAACACCTACTTTTTGTGGATAAAAAACTAATGTCAATACTAAAGAAATGATAGTCTAAGTTCATGCCGACCGTTGATACTTTTGCCACATAGAATAACGATTGCCCTACTTGACTCCAATCCACAACGCACTGCCCACCTATCAGACAGACCGCACAGTATTTGCCTCATAAGGCCATATTACTTGCAAGTAGAAAACCAATAACACACGGTTTATGTGCCTCGGTTGATTCAATGCCACTCACAGTTTAGACCGAAAGGTCCCGCTCCGACAGACAGCAGAAAAGCCTACTGACCCCCGTCTAGTCAGTTTGAAGCAAGGCTTATTGTCCGTTTGCCCGTTTTATTCCCCAAATCTTCTCTCCCTTTCTCGTTCAGACTGGTCTTTCTACATTTTTCACACTTTCACTTACAACAGTATACTTCTTGGCTTTGAAAAAATCTCTCACTGGATGGTGACGCTGTTGCGCGTCACCACTCAGAGCTATCAAATATTTCAATTCAGCAGTCGCTTGTTGTATCAACCATTTGATGAGTCCAGTTTCAGCAGCGGACAGTCTCAGACAAGGTGGTCTTCTTTCCCAAACCCCCCCCCCCTGAATTGTGTACGTCATCACTGACAGAGTACATAATCACTCCAATTGTCCAGTCCACTGTAAATGTGTGTATTGCGTGCTGAATACTCAACTCCTCCCCCAGACCAGTTGTTCATTTTGACTACATACAAATTTGTTTGTTTGTTTTGTATTTGAGAAATGCCAAAAGTTTCCGTGATCTGTCCCTCGTATAAATCTGAATTTGACACGTGATTTGTCAACTCCCCACCTGACGGATTAACACTCGGTGTCAGTAAATCTCTGAGAATGTCCAACAGACTGCGCCAGTAGTTTATGTTATCTGGATACCAGAGAAGCGGTAATAAATGATGTATTGGGATAGAAGTGAACTTTGTACTCTTGAGCCCATACGTTCTGTCTACCGCAGGGTTGTCTATAAAGCAATTTGCCAAAGAGGCTTGCCTTCCGAGAAATACACTCATTTGCAAATCAATTTGGTTTTCACGAGAGACTCAACTGAATCTCTCGTTTATGTTATTCTACAACTAAATGTACTGCACACAGGCCGCCTCATGATTCAGTTGGCACGATATTCGAGATATCGCAGTATAGTTTCATAAGGGAAACTACTCACAAGGTTGCTGAAAACTCTTTGACAGCCCACAACCGGTTTCGCCCTTCTCGCTTGCCTTCCTCAAGGCGGGGTGCATTTATCAGCGAAATGGCCTGGGTCTAAAAGTACAACATCCAAGTAGAGTCAGATCCAATTAACCACCTCACCCCCATCCCCAAACCAATTGTCCCAGCACCCTTGGACGAACACAGGTGAACGAAATCTGTGAACGACCCCAAGAGGAAATTTCCATCAAGGTGTCCTAGACTGAAGAAGCGAGGACGAAAAAAATCCGGGTTCATCATAAAAATGAACCCCCCTAACCAATCTATCGTAAATCTTAGTCATCCCCACTAATCAACAAACAGGAACATCAGACTGAACACCCAGCACTGATCAAGTCACTAGTCATAAGGAATCCCACGGATTGGTTCCCTGACTGCCTTAAAACCCAATCAACCTCGTTACTTACTCACTTGGCCTGACGAAGCTTTTGTGTCAAAAGTGAAACGTTGCCCAGCAATAAATCCACCGATTGTTCACCAACCCTCCCCCTGAAACGATGGCTTCCCAGTCGGTCCCAAACATTTTCCAATTGATTGAAAAGCTTACCTTCCGTCTGCTGAAGGTGACTTGCGTTGGTCATTGAGCCCGATCAGTGAATTCTACAAAAATTCGAACCAAAAATGGTCTAGAATCCCCCTTCCTTTCAGAGGAAGCCCGGCTATGTGACTCCCTTTTTCGTGCTTTGTACACCTGAAGGTTTCATCCCACGGATTTCCACGTCTCACTCTGTTTTATGCCCACTCTGAATATAACACTGCGCACCAAATTGTCTAGAAAAAAATAAATTCGAAGTCCCTCCGAATGATGGCTTTTTTTCTGGGGTAGAACCACTGTCCTTGTCTTTGGAAATGCAGTTCTTGTGCTTTCTGTTACGGTTATCTTCTGTCATTTGACCTTTCTTAGTTGATCGGAACTGTGGAAGAATTTGACTGCAACAGGAACAGATATCTTGAAAAGGCTTCAACATCTACCGGGTTCAAAATCCAAATAAAAGTACACATTAGTTTGTGTCCCACTGTTTCGGTGACCATGAGTAGGCTTTCTAGTCGTTATTAGATAAAAAGAGACCAAAGGTAAACAAATCGTTAATTAGATCGACCACCGCGAATTCCTCTCGTTCATCGCACCAACGTTCAGCCGACGGCGGCATCGTAATTCGTTGCACAGTCTCCAGTCGAAAATATCAGTCATACAGGGTGGCACATTCAGACCTGAGTGACTGAAGGTAAACGACGCGCTAAATTCCTAACCATGAGGTCAGATCAAGTATATAGACTCACAGGCGTCGAACTACATGCATCAGAGTTGGGTCAACTTCACAGGAATATAAATACCCTGGCCTGGTTTCAGGTCACGTGAAGGTGCCAACTTTGAATTGACCAATAGGAAACCATGAGGACTAATCCACGGGATAGTTCGCATATCGTGTCTCAATTCTGAGAGAGATTAAACGCATCACTGGAAACATTGGGAATAAAAGGATAGATTTCTGTTATCGTAGCAGTTTGATTCAAAATTTATGCCATAGCTGTGAAACGCAGTATGAAGTTTATGCGTTGATCTAGAAAGATTGCACGTTCATGACTTCTGAACGGACATCAACAAAACTACGGAACTCATGAGTAGTTTCCTGATCAATAAGACTTTGTAAAAGTACAAACTAACTCACAGGATGTGGAGATAAGCCTTAAAATGTTTTTTTTTCAGGAAAAACATAGGCCAACTTGTTGCTCGTGCTACGGTTATTTCATTTTGGCGGAACAAGGTCTACCAGTTTACTAAACAGATCCTTGTCTAGCTTTGATCTCGCACGTTCCCTTGCCTTTCTCGAAGGCTGTACCTGTCATGACATCCTGGATCTTGTCCGATTTGACCACAATTCTGCTGAAATCGAACACTGGTTGCATTCATGAAAGTGCAAGTGTGACCCGACCGATCGTGACACAAACTGGCAAGTTATTTTGTATGTAGTAGGGAATTTGTCCTATCATATCATGTAGAAAACAACCAATAAAAAATTGTGTAATCAAACTTCATTAACAAAGTCCAAACTCTGACTATTTTTAACAGAGTTAGTTCCATCTGTTAGACAAATAAATGCGTAAGAAAACGGAGAGATGACCAACAATTGGAGATGTGCTAAAAAGGTCACCAAAAAGTTCCATCAACCCATATATATTTTTGTAATGCACTACTCATAAGGTTGCTGAAAACTCCTCGACAGCCCATGACCGGTTTCGCCCTTCTTGGGGGTCATCAGGTAGGTGCAGTCGCTGAGTTTCCGTCAGCTTTATGTTCTACTTGTAACCAAATTGCACGAAATTAGCGAATGTACACTCATTTGAAAACCAATTTGGTTGTTCGAGAGACTCACCTGGAACCCAGCTGAATCTCTCGGTTTTGATGTTTCAAAATGAGTGTACATTCCATCGACCCACTTACACCTTCCGAGGGTCGATTAGGTGAAAAACAATTCCAACCCGTTCTTAATAAAACCTTGCTCTACTCACAACACTATGTTTTGCAAGGTGACATTAAAAGCAAATGTTTGGCTTTCAGTCAGCACATGACCGTGTAGGCGATGCTAAACGGAATATTGTGAAAACCGTTCATGACAATGGACATGAAGTTTTTGGTAAGTTTTGCCAGAACGAAGTCCTAACAACTATCGCGTTTTATTCGAAGTCGCTTTAGTCTTTTTTCGGAATAAACCAAGCCACTTTGTTCATGGATGGTGAGGATGAAACAGACAGAATAAAAAACGTGTGTAGGGTTTTACACGCCAACTACAAAGCCAAAATCTAAAAATCCGTTAGAGTACGCGAGACTCGTGGGCACTGTACTTCCAGCACTGCGATATTCCCTATCGAAAGAAGTCACGTGAAGAATTTCCTCCACAGAATAAACGGTATATCGATGTTTAACAACTGTGCGCGTTCTTTCACCTCCAAACAGACTACTCGAGTTCTTCCTAGCAAGGACACTTACTATTTCGAAGTTATGTTCACCTTGTCACCTGAAGAGTCTTCAGCTCAATGTTTTCCGTAAAACCATTATCGTGGTCATCCGAAATCGGTCCCATCTGACGTTAGAGACCCAAAGCCGTTTTTGGGTGACCATCTACTACTGTCGAACCCTCAGGAATAGCTGTCCTCTTTCCCAACAATGGGTCTACGAATAAACACCGAAATCCTGATTTGCTCTTTTTCAGTAGCATCCCTCTCATTTCAGTATTCACACAGCTTTTTGTCATCTGTTTGGCCTTCAGCCACATACGCCGACGAGGCTTTGTTTGCTCTTATGTTCTCATTTTTCTGACGTGATAGAGATTTTTAATGCTCTACTAGAACCCGAAAATTAGTTATACGAACGAGAAAACGGGGAGCACTAACAGTGTCTGCTTGTTGAGTAAAATTATAACAACAGGTATATATATGCGAACAAGGGACTTATCGCATGGCAGGTACAGGTTAATAGATCCTGTTGTAAGTCCGGATGCAGGTTTCCTGTCTTCTTCGCTGTTGCAGCAGCCACACGTATTCCTGAATATCCGTGCGTGATGCGCCGCAAGTCCTGAGCGGCTCTGCTCCGAGTTGGGCGACGTGCGAAGCTCTGTTGAGTAGTGTTGTGTTGCTGTGCTGTTATCCTATATGTAGGAACGTTCGCGTGTGTGTGGGTATCAGCGCATGACTTGCTGTCACCTTATCGGACGGTAGAGAGTCTATGTCAGATGAGTCACCCTTATGTGTCATGATTTGTACGTGTAGGGGAAGAAAGGCGAGTCTTGGGATCAAGGGCTTGATTGTGAGCTGTGTAGTCAAGTTAGTCCCGATTCTGTGGCGTGATTTGTGAGTGTAAGCAAAAAAGGCAGATCTCGTGATCTAGCGAGTGTCGGTGACCTGTACAGTAATGTGTGTGGCGAAAGGGTAGCTACACTCTGCAAAAACCTCTGGTTCAATCAACGGAAATGCGTACCACCCAACAAATAGAATTCGGTTCATTGATGGGGTTGTTCAGGCTCAGATCAGAAATCAACTAGCAACTTCATTTTTCGCTTGCTACAGACTCAGTGGTTCTCTGACACTCGAGTTGTACCGGCGCATTAACGGAGGAGAGGAGAACAGTTAGGCTGCTGTTTGAATGGTTGTATTGCGTTTACCGCCGTTCATGCGCTCCACTGATCCGAATCCGAATTGCTCGTTGACTAACTGAAACGCCTGGGCTCAGATACAAATGGGGTTCTGGTATGCTGCGACGGTGTGTGGAGAACATGCTCGTCCCTTTGGTACACTGCTGGATCACGTGATACATAACTCATAAGGTTGTCGAAGACTATTCGACAGCTCACGACCAGCGTCTTCATCTTGTAGCTCATCTGATAGGTACAGCCTCTGAAATTCCCTCAGCTTTTGTTAATGCCTTCTTCAGAAGAAAAATCTAACGGCATGTGACTTCACTTTGACCTCGACTACTTCCTGTCCGTACTTCGGCAACCTGGCGGGATCCCAGCCCCCCCCCTGCCTCGTTCCGTTGGCATGGCACCTAAGCACTGAAAGGGTACTACAATTGGATGATATTCTCGTCACATGAGGGCTGGCATGTGTACCAGAAGTCGCGTGGACATTAGGTGGAAGCCCTTCACCTGCAAGCCGGTTCGAAGGATAACGCTATCATTTCTTTTCGAGGGTCTACGGGTTAGAGCCCCGCAAAAAACGGTCAATTAATTGAGCAAAACAGGTTATCTACGTTGATCTTGACACACATATCAGGTAGCAACTAGAAGCGCACGAACCAGGAATTCGTTTGACTGGAAAGAAGTATATGAAATGGGAGAACTTGATAAAAACACAACAAAAGAAGAAATAAGTAACTCGCCTTATTTTGGCTAATCACGAGCAACACCGCCGTCTAACGCATTGGGATCTGTTACTGACTACAGATGCGGTGGTTCAGCCTTACGAAGCACCAGAGTTCTTGCAGAATTGAGTTCTTTCAGAATTGTCTTGATTTAGACACTCCTGTGTTATAAACTCCATATTTTTGGTCATAACACACCTGAGCACAGTAGATATATCCATGCTTTGATGTTTATCGTAACTACGACAGGCGAACCAGCCTAAGTGAATTAGTGAATTTACGTGACATCCAGACTTAATTTCAACTAGTCAGGCTCCACAAAGCGCTGACGGTTTCCTTCGTTGAGTTGAGCAGTTTTATTGTCAAATTTTCAGCAGAAGCTGAGGTGAATGTATCGAGTGTGTGGTTTGTGTGAGTGTCTCATGAGGCATTCATCTGGACAGACCTACCTCTATATATGTATATATATATATATATATATGTATATATGTATATATATAT